TAAGCAGTGAGTGAAGGAGTGTCAAGAGGAGGGAAGTAGAAAAATGAACAGCAAATGAGTAGAACGCAGGTAAGAATGCATTGTAGATGCCACAGAACTGAGAAAAATAAGGGAAGGGGTGCGTTGAAAGGGGATAAAGATGTTGACATTATGACACAGATCAAAATGCATTATATATATAAATTACTTTGTTAAACGGAAAAAATTTTCAATACATAACCTAAAAATTAAGAAAAGTCAGGGAAGGAGTGGGGGGAGGGGGGTGAGAATGTGGAAAGGGGCGATATTTGATCAAGAATCACTGCATTCATAAACTGCTCTGTTGAATGGCAACTCCTTCATGCAACTACTTACAGAAAGAAAAGATATATTATTAACATGTTACAAATGAAAGACAGAGTCATATTTCAATTTCTCATCATCTTCTACGGTTTCTTGCTCTTCTGTAGAATTCTCCCTCGTGGTTTCAACATGAAGGAATATGACTTGACTACTTGCAAACAATTTCATATATTTTGACATCTTTTATTTTACTACTGTTATCGAGTGTTACTTTAAAATATTCTTGTGGGATATTTTGAGTTTTAAATCATGGAATGTTCTGTGCAGTAATACAATGCAGTGGGTGAAGCACTATGTGTTTAGTGAAACGATAAAGCACAAAAGAATAAGCCCTCAGAGTCTTGTATTCAAGAGATATTGTAGCAGCAACAAATCACTTAGTTAACTGCCATAATGAAATTCTTATTAATGGTGAGGATATACAGAAAGAGCTCCGTGGGGCAGAGTTAAAACACAATGACTTCTTATCATCTTTTGGTTCTCAGAGTCATTTGATCATTAAGTTTACAGAATACATTGGAAATGTTTCATAGATCTGTTCTCACATCTCAATTTTATTATTAGCAGGTTGTTTCCATTTCTCAGTGTCTTTCATATGAGAAGCTGTAATAGCTTCCTAAACCATCATTCCTTTGAGGGGCTTTTTGTGGTCTCCACTGCATTCATGTCCCTCCAGTCACTTTCTTACCTAGCTCAAATTTTATTTATTTCATTAGCCTCTCATCACTTCCACCATGACAAAGTTCCAAATCCTTTGTCAGATCTAATCATAATCACTCAACACAGACATTCACACTCATACTGTGTGTACTAACATGAGACATACACATACACATACACATGGATACAAATATGCTTATACCTACACAGCATGAAAAACCTACACATATTTATGACAATGAGTCAATTAAATAAATTGTTCATTACAATTGCCTTTTGTACTTACTTAAATCCTACTTAAACTCATTTTTGTGAAATTAAAATTTGCATTTTTAAGAGAGTCTTGTTAATGCAAAAGTGACTATTTCAGGAATCAGGAAATTCTATCATGGAATCTATCATGAATATTCTATCATGAATATCTATTATAGACCCATCAGGTTGACCAAATTTATCAAGCAGTAGCCATAAAAATTGGAAGCTAAATGGGCTTTCATAGATGTACATCTGTATGCATGTGTGTGTATGTGTGTGTGTGTATATATATATATATATATAGGTTTATATATATATGTGTGTGTGTGTGTGTGTGTGTGTGTGTGTGTATGTATATGTATGAGTAGATGTGTGTATGTGTGTGAAAGGTAAAGGCAGGAAATGGGAGGTCGTAAGGTTAAAATAATCTATGTAGAAAAACAAATAGAATTATTTAAACTTGCTTCCTTGGGTAGCAAACAGAAGTGCATTTCCTCATTCATTTTTAAAAGATATAAGGTACAAAAAAATGGACAGAGTTGTCATTAAAATTGATGTATCACTGTGTTTATCATAACAGCAAGAACAGCAAGTTGCTCACAAGGACTCAAGAAAGTATGCCGAAAAAAGGATTGAGAAAACCAGCAGCAATGCCTGGTGCTCTCCACAAAACAGTGCCATCAAAGAATGACACACTGACTGAACATCCTGTCACAGGCTAGAGCGTGCCAGCCATTTTCCAAAGACTGGAGAATACATATTTACTGGAGAATAAATATTTGACTCTGATTTTCAGGTTCACGCAATTGTTTGAAATATATTCAAAAACATGTAAATTAATGGAGAAAAACAGAGATACCTTGACTTAATGTATTTATACATAAGTAGCCCACAAAGTCATGGCCTGAAATTCTAAATGTTTAGTTGCTAAACAGTTATTAAAAAGGTAAACAGTTATTAAGAAGAATACACAGGAAAGACCACATAATTTTAAATGCCATAAGAAAGAAAAAAGTAAGTTATTAATTTTTTGTGAGGAGGAGTGACACTCAAAGAGTATATTTCACTTAAAAATAATGTATACCCCCACAACCAACATAAGAAAAAATCAATCTTTGATATTCTGGGCACTGGTGGCTCATGCCTATAATCTTAGCTACTCAGGAGGCTGAGATTTGAGGATAATGGTTCAAACTAGCCCAGGCAGGAAAGTCTGTGAGACTCCTATCTCCAATTAGCCACCAGGAAACCACAAGCAGAGCTGTGGCTCAAAGTGATAAAGCACTAGCATTGTGCAAAAGAGCTCAGGGACAGCACCTAGGCCTGAGTTCAAGTCCCACAACCAACAAAACATAAAATAGAATAGAATAGAGTAAATAGTATATACTAATGTTGATTATAATTTTGATGAAATGGACTACAGTTTTATGACACCTAAACATCAGCATGGAGACACCATTAGACACAGAGGCTATATATGAAATCTTTGCTAGCCACACCACTAAAACTCTTAAAATAATATTAGAAGAAATGGAAAATTGACAATTATAAAAATTAAACTTTGTGATTGTACTGAACTTTAAAAACAGCCTCGAGGTAGGGTGGTTGGTCAATTGACTACATGCGGATCTAAATGGGTTTCACAGAACTATTACCAATCCAGTCATAATAAAGACATTAGCATGAGTGTGTGTGAGGTGCATGTATGGTGCGTGTGTCTGACATATATGTTTGTACCAGCTGTACAATGTGCATGTGTGACACACTTGTATGATGTTTGCATCGCATGCATGGGACACTTGTGTGTATGAGTAGTGATGCATGTGTGTGTGTGACATATGAACACACAGAGAATAAGCAAATGTGTAAAACGTTAACAATCCCTAACTGACCACAAAATGAGTACAAGTTTTATTGTCTGTTATTTTTAAGGCCTCTAACCTAGAATTTTTTTCAAAATAAAAGAATACCAGGGAATGAGATAAACAATCACTCTCCTGATACTGCTCAGCGTAAACTTGGTCTTACATTAGTTTCTGATCATCTGCATGGTAATAAAAAAAAGTCATAGTTCTATCTGAAAAACTGTGAGTTGTTTTTTATTTCTCCCAAAAGCTTGTTGCTTTGTTGTTTTATGTTGTGACAATGGAGGAGCTCACGGCACCGTGTTCTTCAGTAGGTTGTGCGTGTGAAGCCTCAGCTGTGGGCTGTAGGCGGCACAGGGGAAATGGAAAAAACATTCAGCAGGAGAAACTCACACCTCACCCTTCGCTGGAAGTCAGGCCTGCACCGCCATATGTGATTTAGAAACAGAGAGGACATTTCCCAGTGTTTATGCTGCTTGGAAATATTTTTCATGCTCTCTTTTTGGGGTACAGAAAAGTAAGGCATCAAAAAGTCTAGTGTGGCAATAAGAGAAAGACAGTGGGCAAGCGGAGAGGAAGCCTTCGCGTGTGAAATCACCGCTCCCAGGCCCCACTCCACACACATCCATGCTTCGCACTTTGTAACACAGGTGTGCCAGCCGCATAGGAAACACATGTCCTAAAATACCGTCAGGACCGCGGCAACACCACATTCATGTCTACTGTACATCCCACTGCTTACTGTAATTATTATTTAATTTCTAGAAGAATTAACTCAGGGAACTGTTCTTTCTGGGAAGCATAGGGCATCTCTCTACTGTAATGCAGTTCTGCCTTTGCATTTTTTTTTTCAGTTGTGGGACTTGAACCCTGGCCTGGGCACTGTCCCTTAGTTCTTCAGTTCAAGGCTGGTGCTTTACCACTTGAGCCACAGTGCCACTTGCAGTTTTCTGGTGGTTTACTGGAGACAAGAGTCTCACAGACTTTCCTGCCCTGGATGGCTTTGAACTGTGATCCTCAAGTCTCAGCCTCCTAAGTAGCTAGGATTACAGGCGTGAGGCTCCTAGCTCTACAAAAGCTGGCTTTCCTTCCTTCCTCCCTCCCTTCCTTCCTTTCTACTTTTCTTCCCTTCCTCCCTCCTTCCATTTCTCCCTTCTTCTCTTCCTCCCTTTCTTCTTTCCTCTCTTTATTTCTTCTTTCTTTCTCTTTCTCTGTTTCTTTCTATGGATCCAATAAAACTAAAGCAAAATTAAGTCTTTTCTCCACAGATTTGAGGACTAAATTAAACACCATTTTATTACCCAATTTCCTAACAATTCAAAGCAAAATCTCATGTGATCAATTATTTTAAAATCAGTGCCACTAAAACAAATACTTAAATGTATCTTTTTCTTTCATCCTATTCAGTCTACAGAAAAAATAAAACATAATCATGTATCAGAACACATTTAAATGTACTATGTAATATATTGTATAGTAGACATATTTGTTAAATATAGAAAGGTGTTATCTATGTCTAAAGTTAACAAGAAATGCAGAGGATTTGAAACCTGTGTTTGTCTTATGTAAAAATCTCTCCCAATACTAAATTAGTTAGGCTAACAAGAGTGTTCAGATAATTCAGCTGTTAAAATGACCAAGTTAAATTAAAAAGTAAAGACTTATCCCAAATATTATCTTTCCTATACTAAAGTGAAGAAACCATAACAAGTAGATGATTAAAAAGAAAGCCCTTTGCATTATATAGAGTCATGAATACATTTATTGGCAATACCTTCAAAGAAATAACTATGAATTTACAATGGGAGTCCAAGGAAATTCATAGAATCTCATTAACAAAAACAAAATACTAGGAAAAGATAAAACTTTAAAACTTACCAGCAAATTTGATATGAAATTTATTTTCAGGTTTTAATATCTGGACATACAAAGGGCAGTTTGGAGCAAAATCTTTTACAGCCCATGCTCTCAAAATTGTTTGGTGATCCTGAAACCATAAAAATAAAAATATCATGAGATGTATGGAAAGAAAAACAGTAATCCATTTAACTGTCATATCATACTTAAAAATTAAGTATACAAAATAATTCACCTTGAGGTCTTAGATATAAGAATATTTATCTCTATAAAATAACAATAATTACCCAACCAGTGTTAATTATGAGCACTTAGAGAAAATTTGTAGTGAGCAAAAATCCATCACTAGAAAAAATAATTTTTTCCAAAACCATTTTGGAGTCAGAAACTCTCAGAATTTCAGAAAAACTAATAATAACATTAGTTGTATGTAATAGAAATTTTCATGGAGACAAATATTAATTCATAATATTAGCATACTTAGAAAGACAGGTAAAAGGAAAACAACTACAGTGCCAATGAATGGAGAATATATTCCTATGCTTTTTTATATCACAGTAAAGGTTGAAAGATTTTGACATGTGTGCATGCACACATATGTGTCCACACATGCACATGCATGAGGATGTGTGTGTGTGTGTGTGTGTGTGTGTGTGTGTGTGTGTGTGTGTGTGTTTGGAGAGAGAAAGAGATGAAAACAGATAAAAATATTGAGAAAGTAGGATGTTATGTTTCAGAAAGAGAATCAAACTCCTAATTAATATGAAATTCTGCAAAGTACTCACCCCTATAATTATTTATGAATTGGATTAATCAAGGCAGATTATTAGAGAAACATGGCCTGGAGTTAGCTAAAACATTTTACAAAAGGATATTCTAATGTAGCAGTAGCTGGATATTATTCAAATCCAAATATCAATGCTGAGTCTAATATAATTAAAATTTAAACAGAATTCAATACCCTCAACCACATAGCCACCTATCAAGGTTCAAAGCCACGGATGGAGAGGTGGCAGCCAAACTGGAGAGTGGAGGTACAGGGAATTTCCTTTATAGTATCAAGTTCTACTGGGCAATGCGTCTAGCGAGGGAAAGGAAGGTCAACCCATCCTCTTACACACGCGTGGTATAAATAGACTGATGGTTTATTCAAAGGCACAGAAAATTTAGTTAATAGTTGGTAACCGCACTGAACGCCTGTGACCCCACTTATCCTAAGTATACAAGGCCATGGAAAATGACATCATCACCTTCCAAAGGAGACATTCTTATCAGTGCTCTTTAAAAATGACCCCAGAGAGTTCCAAAGCCCTGTCGGCCCTGTGGCACTGCAGCAGGAAGACCATGTCAGAGAGCTGGGCACCAGCCTTCACCAGACACCAAACCTGTCCGCACCTCAGACCTCCAACTCTCCCACAATAGCAAGTGCGTTGTTGTTCTTTGAAAGTCATCTCCCCTACTGAATACAGAACTAAGTGTTCAATAGTTAGAACATACTGAACTAGGTCAGAACAGAATATTATACATCTAATGAGGGAGACAATGCCACGAAGGTTCAGGAAATAACAAACATCTGCTATTCCTGTAACACGATGCTACATCGTGGCTAGTCTGAGTACTAGGCGTAACTCACTTCTCGATTGTTACTGCTTTTGCTGGAAGTACATTTTAACTAGAAAGGAAATTCTTGTTCATGCAATGTGATTTCAATAAAAAACGGTACAAAAATGTAAGTTTTGTCTTATTTCATTTTACTGAGAGTCATGCTCAATGTAATAGGTCATTTTAGGAAGTTCATCCTGCTCGTCCCTGAATATATCATTGAGTTAGAGGCCCATTTTTTTAATTTTTTATTGTAAAGATACTATACAGAGGGTTACAGTTACATGAGTAAGGTAATGAGTACACTTCCTATTGAGCATTGTTACCCCCTCCATTGTTTTCCCCCTACTATCCCTTCCCTCCCTACCTTCCCCAAGGTTCTTTTTTTTAAATTGTGATTAAGTGATTACATAATTTCCCAAATTTCACAGTATTGTGGAATAATGATTAAAGTCACAAGTTCATTCTAACTTTCCTGGAGAAAATTGTCTATCACAGTCTATAACATATAACGGTGTACACATATACACCATAAATGTGATCAGCAGTATGGGGACATTTAGTAGTGGTTCGACCAGATGAGTGGGAGTTCTTTGTTTCTTAAGTCCTGTTAATTTTGTCGTATCACCTAACATTTTGGATTTAGCATCCACTTATCAGGGAGACCATGTACCATTTGTCTCTTTGCTCTTGGCTTACCTCGCTCAACATGATTCCTTCTAGCTCCATCCATTTCCCTGCAAATGCCATTATTTTTGTTCTTTCTAATGGCTGCATAGTATTCCATTATGCATAGATACCACAATTTTTGGATCCATTCATCTGTGGTGGGGCATCTGGGCTGTTTCCATATCCTAGCTATTGCGAACAGTGCTGCAATAAACATGGAGGTGCACGTGTCCTTGTATATTGGTTCTTGTTGTTCAGGGTAGAAGAGGCCCTCGTTTTTAAAATGCGGATACTTTCTGTCTCCTGAGATTATTAGTAAACCACGTGAAGTTCTTAGTAGAGCTCAACCAAGTTCATGTTGAATAAGCTATATTTGTTATTCCATGAATTAATTCAACTATTCTCAAACTAGTATGAGTTAGCATAAAAGCCTAAGTATATGTAGATGAATGGTTTGACAGATGGTAGACCATAGGAAGGCAGAGGATAGATAAACAGGTAGGCAGATAGATTAATTTTCAACATACACATAAATGTTAAAAAAAAAAAAACTAAACTGGAAGACTGAATGCCACACGAATCCAACTACATGACATTCTGGAAAGGACAAAGCCAAAACCATGGTGACAGAAAGGCGGGACTCCCAAGAGCTCAGAAGAAAAGGAAGGATGCTGAGCCAGCTGGGGGTAGCAACGCAGGGATTTCAAGCCACGAAATGGCTCTTCAGGACAGACCACCCTGAGGGAGCCCTGCCGCACAGCTGGGCATGCACAAGACTAAACACCACTGCAATAAATACCTCACACCAACTGTGGAGGGGATGGATGTGGAAAGCTATTATTCTCTAAGTTTTCTATAAATTGAACATTTCCAAAAATTCAAGTGAATTAAAAAAAAAATAAGTGGGACATGTATGAGGTCTTTGAATCGCAAGTCCTGGGTCTCTAATCTTCACTCTAGAGCTCAGAAAACAGGAGTCGAGAAACGTTTGTCTTGGATCTGGTCCTCAGAATTGAAGGGTTGATTCTAGAAAATGTAGCCTGTGGCCACCGCTGTCTGTTCTCTGTCTGTTCTGACATCACGGCGACTTTCCCCTCCTAACTTACACTCATCTTCCTCCTGAGAGCCCTTGCTTCCCCCACATTCCGAGTCCTCAAGTACTGACTGTCTCCTTTCCTCTGAATCCAGCCAACCTCTAGTTTCCTTGCTGGTCTCCTAAGTCTTTCTGTGATATCTACGTTCAACCAACCCAATGTGTCCAACACCCAGCATCCCAAAGACTGTCACTCCTAGTTTAGGTGCCGCCGGGGCTCAGTCTCCAACTGTCTTATATCGCGCAGCTTGACTTTGTTTCTGCTTTCACAATTCTGCATTCCTCCGAGTTGAAATACAACCCACAAACTAAAACCAAATTGTTGACCTTGGCTGCATAAAACCCTGGGCTCTTTTTATTACTCTGGACGTCAAATCCAAACTTAAAATCAAGGCTTGAAACAACATTCATTAAGCGTTGCCTAAACTCTTTCCCAACAATTTGCAGTCACTTCCCCCATGAGGATAAGCATTCTCCTTCCACTCCTGAATCTTCAGCATTTCTGACACAGAAAACAATCATTCACTCCTGCTAAGAAGATGCCTTTTAGCTAAGAGGCAACTGTCTATACACAAGCATTGAAGTCTCTAGCAGCTGATCGCATTTACTACCCCTTCCACTATGGCAATCCTATCTAATGTGTCTTTTGTATCTGTCCTAGAACTTGAGCTTGTAACCTGGGCTCTGTCCCTTAGCATTTTGGGTCAAGGCTGGCACTCTACCACTTGAGCCACAGCTCCACTTCTGGCTTTCAGTGGTTGATTGGAGATAAGGGTCTCATGGCTTTTCCTGACTGGGATGTCTTTGAATCTGAATTCTCAGCTCTCTGCCACCCAAGTAGCTAGGATTACAGGCGTGGGCCACCAGCATCCAATTAACCCTAATTTTTTTAGAACTTTTCAAAAAGGAAGTTTAGTGAGAAGCAGACATAAGGCTACATTCATTTAAACAGCAACAGAAATCGTAGATCACAAGAGTAAATCATGCTGTACAATGAGTAAATACATGAAATAAACTACTTATCCTGACAACCATAAAACTTCCATTTTTGTGTGTTAACTGAAATACAAAAGGAAATGAGGAGTGTAAGAAGGCATAATTGGTCACATTTAAAGGAAAAGAGGGGGGGAACCATATTCCTCATGCACACAATACACGAACATACAACTCCTGCTTCCAAAAGCTAAATATGAGACAGATTTTTAACTTTCACTGGTGATAAGCTCATTCTTACACCAGGCTCATATTTCTATCCAAAGAGTGAAAATATTGACTGTGACGACTTGGTAGCAGGCTGTCACAGGAAGGAAGGCCATGGAGCCAAGCGGTAACCCTAGAAAGACAGAATGCTTCACCCAAAGTCACAACAAAACGGACAGTAAGGTCCCTCCCCCAGAAGCCAACTTGTACAGACAAGGCAGGAAGAGCGAAGAGAGGGTGAGTCTGATCCAGGACGTACACGGTATGCATGTATGGCTGTGTCAGAGTGACACCGCCTTCTATAATACCCCAGGCCCATAAAAATGTGGAAAAAGAGAAAAAATAACTTTAAAAAACTTGAAATGCCAAAATATTAGTTGTTAGTGTTCTACGGACTTACATAAATCACTTTACCCTTGTCAGGTATCGCTTTATTGAAATCCAACCACTCATGAAAAACACAAACAGTTTTAGATAAAATTTTATGCATGAATTATCTATCACCCATCTGTGAGATCTTGTCATTTTAATTAGATTCTCGAATAGAGTCCATGACCCAGAAAACG